AAAAAAAGCAAGGCTTGGCACAATTTGGGTCCTATTCATTAAAAAGAAAAAAATGAAAAGGAAAGAAAGAGAAGGCTCATATATTTTTAATTCCAAAAGCTGTGCACAGCACAGACCAGGCATTTTACTGGGAGCTCCAGAAGGAGCTCGGCCCTGATTCTCCACGTGAACCGAGTGATCCGCCGATGTTCGCAGAGCAGCCCCGGAGTTAGAGGGATATAAATAAGTCAGCAGCAGGCCCCRTGAGTGCAAGGGACACCAAAGCAGACAGCACCAAACGGCTGGCGAAATTTGACTCGCGAGCAGCAGGGGAAGCCCTTGGAGCTGCGCACAGACACAGCGGCGGTCACGTTTCCTGCGGCCCGGCCACGGGGCTCGCATGGGATCGGCGCCTCGCCATCCCTTTGAGCGCTACYAGGGCTGTTTCCAGCCACCCCAGCGGCTCGTCCCTGTCTTGCACGCAAGGAAACACTGCCGGGAGGGTGCTACCTGCCCTAGGGTCATCCCAGCACAGCCCCTCGCTGGGGGCATCTCCCGGCAGCAAAGCAAAAGGGAGAAGCCGCCGCCCTTGCAGCAGCACGGGGGCTGCTAAACCTCAGGGCCCCTCACCATAGCCACCTCTGCCCCTCGCCTGTGGTGGGACCCCTGTGACCTCTAACATATGGACTTTTTAAAGAAAAAAAAAAGGAGGGTGGTGGAGGCAAACAAACTCTGCAGATAAAGTGACAAAATTCTGTTGACCAAAMAACAGAACGTTGCATGGATGAAATGTATTTTATGGAATGAGACAGTTTTGAGATAGAAACGTAGAAAATACCAATGAGAAAAAGCCAGGTATCTATAGTTTGAAGGGGGATCATGGGGTCCTCTTTCCAGTCCCTCATGAGCCCCCCACGTAAGATGTGCTGCACCCACATCTGGGGCATGAATCTGGCACATGCAGCGCTGAAAGGGCAGGAGCTGATTTGCAACTCCCTTCTAATAGTAACATGCAATATTAATAGCAAGCATTCTACAATGATTTAGCAATTCCATAAATAACATTAGGAACGGCTCTGTGTCGTTTATGCCAGTTTAACTGTTCCACTCCAGTCTCCTTAGGCTCTTTCGCCCCAGCAGGGAGAGCCCKGCAGCTTCTCTGATGGGGGAACAAGAGGGGCCCAGGGGCCCTGGGCACATGACGTAGATGTTGGGTCCGGCCCAGACACCCCCGGATTGGCAGGGACCCGGCACCCCAGTTCAGCTCCCAGCTGCACTGCAGTGCACGTTCAGACCAGGGAGCTACAGCTGCTCTGCACAGGACCTTGCAARGCTGCATGATATCCATCCACGTCCTGCACTGCCCTGGGAAGCTGGAGGAAGGATTAAATAATCCAACTTTTTTTTTTAATCATTTCCCAACAACTGACCGTGATAAAGACCGTCTGGGAAAACCTGCCAAAGAGGATCCCCATTTCCATTGCATGCATCAAGAGGGAAGGTGGGGAGAGGCTTCTGCTGGACCAAACCAGGGAAATTAGTGAGCAGCTGGTGAGCCGCAGGGTCAGCGGGGCCATCACGATGGCAGCGACAGGGAGAGCACCCACTGTCCTTAAGCAATGAATAATAATGAATAATYGGCGTCGGGAGAGGGCAGAGATGGGAGCAGCCATCGGAGGCGGCTGCTCCCCACCTCCATTCCCCAGCCCCTGCTCATCCATGGGCAACGTGCGGGAAGAGTGCCCAAGGGAGGGCTGCTGGGCTTGGCCTCGTCTTCTTGGGCTTCCAAATCTTAAAATAAATGTACCCAGTGGGGGTCACCTCGTGAAAGGAGCCACCAGGAAGGACAAATCATAGCCTCCAAATTTCCTTTTTTTTTTTGCCCTTCCTCTTCCTCCTCTCCTCTTCCTGCTGCTCTGCTTGCTTAACCTCCAGGTACCGRCTTAAATAACTCTGCTAAATAGCAATAATGAGCAGGCAGAGCCAACAGCKAGGCACGCAATCACCTTGCCCCATGTGCTCAGCACCAGCCACCCTCCTTGGCGCGCGCCGCGCTTCAGCCCTATCTGCACCCCGGCCTCGCTGCCCACCCGCCTGGCATCGCGCCACGCGCCTCCTCATTTCCCAAAAACGGGAATCTTCCCGCGCATCTTCCTTCTCCGAGAACTTCTAGGAAATTCTGGGAAGCGTGAGCCACCACTGAGTTCATTTCCAAGCAGCTCGGCCCCGACTCCCATTCCCGTTGCCCAATTTCCCCRTGCAAACAGGTGTGCAAAGCCAACCGTCCACTACCACCAACGCCAGCAAGAGAGCCYGGCAGGGCCCGACCCTCCCTAAGCTGCTTTGCAGCATTAACTCTACAATTAGTTTCAAAAAGGAAACAGGAACTGCTAAAGTTTCAGATCTTTATAGCTGTCATGGAGTATTTYTTTTACAGGGAGGGTCTACAGCATTAGTGGTGTGAGAAGTCTTAGCTTTAGATGTAAAAAGACACTTTTAAGAGAATGGTGTTATTTTTTTTCTCCAATTATTAAAGTTCAGGTTTCAAAACCAGGTTGCCGTGGCACAATTCCACATCACGCGGACACAGCCGCAATTTTGTCAAAYAGGAATAGCATTAATAAAAGATAGAGTGAAAGTTACTGTGTATAAACTTCGACCACAGCGGAGCTAAAAATAAGCCTGAGAATACACACCGGAGTTGCACAACAGAACCCCAGCRAAGGAAATACGAAATTCTACCCTCTGCTTTTCTCCTTTTGTTTACTTCTTGTATGCTTAACTTTATGTATTTCATCAGCTTCTTAAAACATGTTTTCTTCTCCTGAGCAACTTTGACATTTTCCCCAAAAAACTCACCTTGCACTTGATAAAAACTTATGCACATACAGAGCCTTTCTATGAGAAGCAAGAATCCCTCAGGCACAAACGGGTTTCCAAATCAGGTCCCTAAACATTTGCACCAACATACAAGACTTCCCAACTACCAGTTAAAGAAAGCAAGTTTTTTTAAAAAAATAAATTAATTAAAACTTAAATTAAAAAAAAAAAAAAAGAAAAATCAAACGTAATTCAATAGTTCCAAAAATACAAATTGCTGCATTAAGTACATCCCAGTCGTYACTGGACTACAAGTGCCTCCGAAACAATTCACATCAACTTTTCAGTGATGGAGTTGGTAAAAAAGAAAAGAGGAAGGGGGATAATTTAAAAATCAAGGCTACAGTTCCCGTTTAAACCAGTGGGAGCTTTGGCTGAGTAAAGGCTGTGGGATGAAGCGCTGAAGCAGGCGACAAATAAGTTGGAAAAATACAGAGTCGTGTTTTGTCCTTAGCTGTTCCAGAATAAATCCAGATTTATGCTGGTACAACCGAGGGCATAAGCGTCTTGCAGCGTCGATTTGCCAGTCAAGCAATGCTGCTTTCTAAGCTGAACAAGCGACGATCTTGAAGGAATGAGATCGCGGTCATAATATTATTCACTTATGTTGTGGCCTTGATTTTAAAAGAGGAGGAAAGCGAGCGAAATCACCAGGGTCTGAAAACCACTCGCCTCCAAATCCCTCATCTGCTCCGCACAACAAACTATCTCCCTCATTGGAAAAAAAAAAGAAAACAAAAAAGAGGGAAGAAAAACCCATTAGAATGAGGGTCTTTTCAAAAAAAAAGGAACCAAAATGATTTGTAATGACGTATGTAGACATACACACAGAGAGAAAATAAAATCCTGGCCTTGCTGAATTCAATAGGAGTTTGGCAATTGACTTCAGATGGGCCAGAATTTCACCCAGGGAGCTTTAGCCTCGCATCCGCTGTGGATCTATACAGAAACTACTGCGGATTCAGTGCTTTACATTTATTTGGCTTCCAACGCTTAACTCTGCACTCCCTGAGCTTTCACGTCTTATCCCGGCAACATTTCCACTCATCCCGACACGGGTTTCTCCCAGATAAGTGCACAGCGCCGGGGTCCAGGGCGAGGGGGGGTCCTTCTTGCAAGGTGGCTCCATATACCCTACAGCAGCACCAAATTATTTTACCCGGTCTCCCTCTGCCTCTGATACACCTCCTGCTTAACAATGTATTCACACAAATTAAATAAATTTATCTCTCCTAATATGTTCATTTTTAATGGTTTTCAAACATTCACATGGAAACAGCTCTAGCGTAAATATCCCAGAACAAATGGCTGTATATTATACAGGAGGGAGCAGTTGGGCTGCCAGACTGGGAATGCACCAGGCCATCTGGCTCAGGCAGTCTCTCCAAAATCCTCAGCTTTGTTTTCACCCTCAGACTCCAAACAACACATTTTCCACTGTGATGAGTTTACATTTTCCCAAACACAGGTCCTGATCATGCATGCAAATTCCAAACTTCTCCGCTCCTCTCCGTACAAGAAAATTAAAATCACCTGCGCTTCTAACACGTCACCAAAGGAACAAGAAAGCTGCTAAAATCTGGCGCAACACAAACTTTCCCTGTCGTACGGGTTAGGCTTTGGTTTATGTTTGTGTGAAATTTCTCTGATTCTGCTAAGGCTCCTCTGAACTTATTGATACCATTTTTTCCCCATGCACRCAGCTGCCAGCGAAGGGCCCCGCTACRCACAAGACAGAGACGATCGGATATCTGCAGACATCACAGAACATGATAGGGGGGAGGGAAAAAAAAWCAACAGAAAAATCATTTGAATCCAGATTTTAAATTCCAAAAAATAAAAAGACAAAATAACCAAACAAACCCAGCATCTGAAGGAAGCATTTTTGACTCGCAACGGCTCTTGGCAATAGACAATAGCTATCTCATAAACTTAYGATTTTTGAGAGGCCTGAGCCGTGTTACCATCCCKTATATCTTATGGATGAGAACGGCAGAAGGAAAACTGGGTGGGGAACATGTTTCAGATTTATTTCCTCCATCTTTCCTAATATGAAATATCTCAACTTTATGAAAATGTAACTGAAGAAATAACAGGCATCTCTTTTCGGTAAATATATTAAAATCCTTAGGCTTGCCTAAAAACTCCACTTTTATTAGAGCAGGCATATTTCACGTTTTGCAGGCATTTTCAAAACGCATCATTGTTCGAGCCAGACCTACTKCAGCAAAAGCTGCTGGTTTACAGAAAGCAACAGCTATAAAGTTTGGGATCCTACAGGGTTTTGAACACATTAGGAATGTGATCCTGACATAAAACGAGGTGCCAAGATAACATAAAAGAAAATTTAATTAAGACAGTATTGATGTTCAATATTGTTACCCTCAGTGAAAGGAATTTCCCCACCAAATTAACGATTTGAGCATTGTATTTACAATTCTAAAATGACTGGCACGCATTTTAGAAACATAGCGAGACCCCTCGAAGGCCCGTAACTGCCACRTCCTCCCAGCCCTTCTCTGGGGCTGCCACCCAGGGCCAAGCCCCTTATCCTGCCCACGGCTCGCTAGGATGCAGCGTGGGACCAATCCCGCGGTCGTTTCCCACTCAGAATTCCCACAGCCCGGCTGCGCACGGACAGCTCGCTGTGCGGGATYGAGCCCGGACGCTTCATATCCACACGCGGGATCTGCCGTGGGACCCACGGGGGATCCAGGGACCCGCTGTGCCGCCCGCTCCCCGTGCCGCATCGCGGMCGACACTCAGCGGGCACCGGGACAGCGCGCTGCCCTCCACGCAGGGCTCCTGGCACGAGCCTCGTGGCCAGGCACAGCCTGCAAGCARCCGTGGCACGTCCCCACCTACACCGATCGATAACTCGACAGCACCAAAGACCGCCCCTGCTTATTATATATACACATATGTATATATACGTATATACAGCATGCAGCATATGTATATACAGCATACAGCACTGTGAACCCCTGGCTGTGCATCTGCTGGTACCACGCGGGCTGCCAATGCAGCGTCCGTGCTAACGCCGGGAGGAGCGATCCCACACGCAGGAAGTCTGATTTGCCGAGAGCATTTTATTTTATCTCACCTAACTCAATAAAATCTACCTTCGTATAAACTCTGGAGCTGGCGACATCAAGAGAGTGCAGTTACAACCGATTTGTCCACACTAAAATATTCTTAACGTAAGGAGAGGGCGGATGGTTCTTTCCCGTATGTTCTGGGGAACCTGACTCAGGCAGGCTTTGCTTCTGTGGGATTTTTAATTTGCCACCAGAAACCTCAGAGTAGCTGTAATTTTCGGCTGGGAATTCACTACTACAGAGTGTGTGAATGTGCCTGGACAAGTATCGAGAAGCTCCTTGCCAGCTGAAACATGTATCGTTCTGCAACAGTTTCATTTAAAAGTAATCATTTCATTATCCAATTTGTTCTGAGCGTCAGGCATTAAAATACTGCACCTTCAAGTAGACTGACAATATATATTTAACTTTCATTAAAAATTAAACATTTTCAGACAGTCTTTGCAATATTTAATTACAGTTTGATGATTTGAAAGTTACTCGAGAATCTTCTATATAATTCACAGTAGTAAAGCATAAATGATAGATTCTACATTTTGGCGAGCTGCAGCCATATGCTGAACTTCGGTTACTAAATGGTTGTTAGGAAGCAAAGTGATCACATCTCTGAAATAACTGCACTTAAAAAAAGAAAAAAGAAAAAAAAATAATAAAAAAATAACAGTAGCAAGGAGATTTTATCCCTTGGCTCTTGAAAAAAAAAAAAAAATCAGAGCAGCACATGCCACAGTTTTGACATGACAATACCCTACTTTTCACAAGCAATTATAATCATGTCTAAAGAAATTGTATTTGTGAAATTAATATGTAAGGAAACATGTTTGTCTGAAATAACCTTTTACTCCTTATTTCGTAATCTAATTTCAGAGAGCTTTTGTTCTTAAATTCTTCCCTTCTCAGCTCCATTACACTTTCCCCAAAAACCTGTAAATCTGCACTAACTAACTGCACTACCTAACATTGCACTAACTACAAAAACTAAGTTTGTTTTTGTAAGACTTCCGGAAATCGGACAGATTTTTTTTTTCTTCATTGTGAATGTACTTTAAAGCTACCCGGTAGGTTTTACAAATAAACTGTATCTCGCGGGGGGTGAGGGGGGTCCCCTTTTTCTCTCCAAAGACCCTCTGATGACTTGATAATAATGAGAGACCAAGAGGTCAAACAGTGCCTTAGGATGAACTCTTCATATGCAAGATGCCTTTGTTAAGAAAATTATTTTGAATCCATTGCTCCGCGTGAGTTCAGAGATCTGTTTTCAGCAGGATTATGAACAGAGGCTTTTGCATTTCCATAATGATAGGAAAGCTATTTAAAGATAATATTTATTGATAGCCTTCCTCGCACGGGCTACCGTGATACACACGAGCTTCCAAAGGACTAAGAAGAGTTCACATATCAGAAGGATTTTGTTACTTTTAATACAAACTAACCAACTCGCGCCTCAAAAACAAGGAATGACAGCAAACGCTTTCCAGGATTTGCTGTGGAGCAGGGATTGGTGCTGCTATTCTAATTCCTATAGGGTCTGGGCTCTGTTTAGAAGCGTAGAGTTTAACAGAGTTCAGATGCACGGTGGATTGCCTAGTAAAATTCATCCACGCTCTCCCCCCCTCTCCTTTTTTTTGTTGTTGAAAGGCAGTCTTCAATAGCAGGAAAAGATGTTTTGGGACCATCAAAGAGAGTTTTCTAAAACAAACTCAGCCCTTAGAGCTCTGTTTTGCTCTAGAAAAGAAATTCAAATACAAGCCAAGAGATTTCCTACAGACAGCAGGGTTTAAACATACAGGGTCTGACTTTTCCTATCCGTGCGAAAAAAAAAAAATCTTAGTATTTTTCTTTTTTGTTAATRAAATATATTTTTGGATTTTTTTAAATAAAGAAAACGGATGTGAAGGGAGAAAAAAAACACATCTAAGGAATAAAAAAAGGACTTTAAAATATTGCTAGCTATTAAAAGAAAACGTATTACGAGAGGAAAAGATTCTGACAGGAGCAGAAGAGAAAGCTGGAATGACGAGTTTAAAAACAAAATCGATTTCTTGAAACAGTCCCTTTTTTAAAATGCTGGGTTTTTTATACAGAAAAGTATGCGGTTTTATAGGCAGTCACACACTTTATGGCTCTGTTTGTGAAGCTAAAGAGCAAGCTTAAAATTAGGGCTAATCCATTTACGAGGCTCGCTGTCCTGCAGCTCTCGCGGAGCGCGGACCCCGCTCGCCCGCGGCGCGGCCGCTCGGGGGGCTACCGCTCCATGCAAATTGGCCACCGCTCGCTCGCTCCTCCTCTAGCTCAACTCGCCGGGGAGAAGAAAGAAAGGACGAACAGAAGCGACAGCGGCCGGCTCCCGTCGGGGGGTGCTAGATGGGGGGTTACTCGCACTGCTCGAGCCGGAGCCGCCCCGACACCGCCACTCGGGTCCCTTCCTCGGCCCGGGGTGCGGGCGGAGCCGCTTCGCTGTCCCCCTCGCCGCGACCGCGCTCCCTGGGCCGCCCCGACGGCAGCGCGCCCGGCCGCTGCCCTCCGCGGCCGCCCCGCAGCACCTACCTGCTTGGTCATGGAGTCGATGAGGCGCACGTAAAAATCCTGCTCCGTCCTGATCCCTGAAACAAGGCAGAGGCGTGAGGAGTGGCGCCCGCGGCTCGCCCGACGGCTCGGGCCCGCCAGCCCCAGCGGCTCCGGCCCCGGGCACGGGTGCCCGGGAGGCTTCGGGGCCGCAGCGGCGCCTCGTCCTCCGCAGGCGGTTGCAGCCGCGCTCCCCGGGGAGGCTACGGGGAGTGGCGGGGCCGTCGCGGGGGCTCCCAGCCCTTACCGTTGCTGTAGAGCAGCTGCAGGCGGTAGTGGATGCCGTTGTTGGTCTTTTCACTGTTGGCTTCCTGGATTAGGGACATGGGGAAAGGAAGGAGAGAGAGAAAGAAAGAAGCGCTGTGAAGTCTCCCCATCACTAGGACAGCAGTGTCCCCGAGCGCCGCGGGGCAGCTCAGCCTCGCTCTGTCCCGGAAAGGAACCTCGGGGGAGCAGGGCACCCTTTTGGGCTGCTTCCCTAGCTGGGACCTAGGCGCCCGGGKGGAAGCTGCCGGGCCGAGCTGCTGCCGCGGCCCCAGGGGAGCAGAGTAAGAGGCAGTCGGGGCCCCGCGGGCAGCCGGGCTACTCACCTTCTCCTTCTCCACGAAGCCCACGAAGGCGGTGCGCTCGATCTCCACGGGCTGCCCCTGCCGGTCGTACAGAGCCAAGACGAAGTGGAAAAAGTTGGACTTCCTTAGGTTGGAAGGAGGCTGCTTCTCGAAGTGAGCCCGGGCCAGACCCACTCCGCTGGGACCAGAAAGATGCAGGTTAGCGGCAGCCCCGACGTCACGGCCTCCTGCCCTCCAGCCCGGTCCGGCCGGGCCCGGCGACACCGGGCTGAACTCCACGGGGCCGAGCCGCCCCCCGGGCTGTCCCGGCGACAGGAGACCCGCGCTCAACCGYGGCCACGTCGGGGCAGCGCAGAGCCGATCCCATCCCGGTCGCTGTCGCCCCAGGGCAGCAGCCCCGCAAGTCCCGGGTTGGGCCGGTCGGGAGGCTGCCCGACCTCGCCAGCGCCCCGAGCGCCCCGCAGCTGCCCCGCACGTCGGGGAGCGGTGCCGTCCTGCCAGAGCCTCRAAGCTGTCACCGCATCGCCCCTGTGCCTTATCTTTCAGTTTCAGTCCTCCGAGGCTTTCCTCCCCGCGCCAGGGTCGGGGCAAAGCAGCTCCGGGAGCCGCCGCGAGATATTTCAGGGTTGTCCCTGCAGAACTTTCCCTTCCTTAGAGGGCTCCGGAGGGAGGGGTGCGGGCCGAGGTGGGAGACACCAGCAGATGTCAACATAAAACTTGCTAGTTGGTGCCGGCTCCAGGGCTCAGGCTGCAAAGTCGGCATCAGTTTTCCGTAGGGAGAGGAGAGGCAGAAGGAGAGAAAGCGAGGCCGGGAGCCCTTTGGCGAAATCCGCCTCCCATTTTAAAGACTTTTTTTTTTTTTTTTTTTTTTTTT